CACCTTTAAGTGAAACACAAGACATGATGCGAAATACCGGCTCGGAATCGTCTTTACAATGCCATCGACAGAGCAGGTGACGTGGATATGGTTTCTGGCATGCCTATGCACTCCAAACGACGTCATTAAAAACATTACAAAAAAAAAACTTGATCAATTAATGCAAACAATGACCAAGGTTAAATCCTATGATTATAATTTGTATACTTTTTGATTCGATGAAGGAGACACTAAATTAACCCATTATTTCAAATGTTTTACTGATTGATGAGATTCACATACTTCCAGTATAACGGATCGATCTACGAGCAGAAAGACGGCGCCGCCGTGGGGAGTCCGGTTTCCGCTGTTATTGCTAACCTCTACACGGAGAATTTCGAAGAACAGGCGATAACTACATCATCCTACCACAGGCGGCCCAAGCTCACGTCTGGAGAAAAAGCCAACGACTAATTCATGAACTCGTCACGAGTTGTGACTCGTTACGAGAGGAACCGTTGAAAATTTGAACACGTCATAAGGAATATGTGGGGAACGAATTATGGTCGATTTACAACGGTAAATATTACGAAATATGAATATTTTACACGTAAAATCAATATCACTTACTCGCATCCTGTGTGTCCGTTGTAGTTTCCGGCGATTTCTGCTGTTTTAAGCTTGCTTTACCATCACTGTTATTCCTGTCAAAAGACGAAGTCAAGGCTGCACACTCCGATTTCGACCGAAAGTCCTCCCGATCGGCATTTTTCTCAGCCATATTTTACGATCTAAGATCATTGCACCCTGGGACATGTCTCAATACCAAAACTCCCCGCGCATTTGGCTGGAAACGATCGTTTTCTACCTGAATTTCCAAGTTCGCTTCTTTCTGGCTATGCTTTGAACAAGCAAACTGGACACGGCCGCGGATGTACATTGATCGACCGCACCACTCGCGGTAGAAAGAAAATTAACCTCGTACCCACGTTTCTTCCAAGTTTCTTCCACTGACACACAGGATGTGAGTAAGTGTTATTGATTTTACGAGTAAAATATTCATAATTCGAAATATTTACCGTTGTAAATCGACCATATTTCGTTCCCCATACTATTCCTTAGAACGTGATGAAATTTTCAACGGTTTCTCTTTTTTCCTCTCTTTTCAGTAACGATACCATTTCACTCCAGACGATACTATTCAAATAAATCAAACTTAATTGAGCAAAAAACTGGCAATGCTCAAATTTTTTATTATAAATTTCGTAGTTTTTTATTTGACGAGGGAGACATCTTAATCAACCCATCATCTCAAACGGTTCGTTAAGGTAGAAACCGATTACTCAGATGATCACAAAATTATAATCTTGGAAAGAAAAACCCAAAAGAGCATTTGCAATTGCTTTATTCTAATCTAATCCAATACAATGTTTTTTGCTTCTCAGTCATCATGTTCTTCATCATCCTCTTCTTCGCTTGCATTTCTTATTTGTTTCTTACGATCAGCACCATCGTCAGAATCTGTGAAGGTTTTCTTGGCAGCGGCGGTCAACTCGTTGACGACTTGGTACAACTCCTCTCCAAATTCAGCCAAATGAAGCTGTTTTACTGCGTCGGGAATATTTTCATGGCCAATTGTACGTGTGAGCTCGTATAGCAAGACTTGCGGGCTCACCTTCTTGAGGTCGATAACAGCAGCTTGTGTGCAGTAGCAGAAACCATTCCGACGTTCATCTTCAACTCCTTTGGATGAAAACTCGTATTTGTAAAACATAACATCGATTCGCATGAGGGTGTTATTGCTAAAGACGATGTGGTAATCGTTCTGCTCACTTGCGCCAGCCTGCGTGTTTCCCAAGAACTGATTGAGGGCCACGCCGATGAGGCTCACAAGACCCTGTATGATGTTTCCACCAAACATATCTTTGATTGATTTAGTTATGTCTTCATCAGGCACGTTCGACACGCTGACAGAATACTTCTCTGATGTGTCGACAAACGCCACAATCGGGACATTGGCGTCTTTGAGCGCTTCTTCCCTCATCTTTGATGTAGCGGCGGCAACTTTATTAACCATCAACTCTTGCAGCATCTGCAGCTCTTGCACGGCTTTATCGTCATTGTTTTTCTGTTGTTCCTCAAGTTTTTTCGAAATGGATGCTCCCATGATCTAGATTTTATCAAGAAAGAACAACTTAAGCTGGTGATTGAAATCAGAAACAATAAGCGTTTCATAAATCAGTGAAATGAGCATACCACAAATCAGGCATTTTTCCCATTTCGTTCCCAGATAATTTTTTTCGATTTAAACATGTCGTCGTATCTTTTTTAAAAATTTATGTGTACTTGAAGAATATACCAGGAATCTTAGATCGTAATGATACAAGCTACATTTCTGATTCAAGTTCCATTGGAATGTTTCAACTCGACGAAACTGCAGAAAACCAGCCGCAGAGCGCACCAATCTCAGCGAAAGGCACCAAGGACTTTATGCTTCTACCTGTCAGTTATTCTTTATTATCCTTGCTTTCCTGCTAACCTCTACTGACAGCGGATTGACCTTTTTGAAAGATTAATTTTTCCCTTACTAGAACAGTTACCACAATACTTTCACGAGAATCTCAAGAATGAATAAACGAACGAACTAACAGGAATATTACTGCGAAAAAAAAATAGGAACTTTGGTGAGGTTCCAAATCAAGGACAAAATCAGTAAAAGAATAACTAAAATCACTTATTTCAGAAGACTCACAGAAGAACTACAAAATATGATCAGAGAAACCTATATGATACCAAAAACTAAAAAGAAAGTACATGATCGCATGACATAGTTACTTCAAGCAAGGACATCATGATTTAAGTTCGAAGAATCCGGTAAACAACCAGGACAATCAAACTAGGAAACCCATTTTGATCCGCAATAACCTTAGACTTTGAATTGTGATTCTAGCTAAATACGTGAACACAAATTACTAAATCATAACTAAGCAACTAGTAATTTAGAGCCTTAATTGTTTAAACTGTGGCAAAAGGTCTACTTCGCGTCTTCGGTTTGTTTGCTTATTCATTCTGTTTTCTTTCAAAAATTTTCGCTCAACCAAACTAACAAAACACTTTAGCCCAGCGTTGCTTGCACCACTTGTCCCGACCTTCACTTACTTTAATCAGTTTCAATCTGGACTAGGTACATCTGTTGTACAGTTCAAGAGAATGATTAATGAAAATGATTTATGAAAATGATCTATGAGAGAAAGCGATTAATTTCTAAAAGACGGCGTAAAACCTCTTCGTTCTAAACAACCCAAACAGACAGTTAACATCTATAGACCAAGTCACGAAAGAGAATATTCTATCTCAAACTTGATAGTAATTTATGATTTACGCTTAATGTATTGTCTTTTCCACGCACGACAGCCATTTCGAATATTTTGCAGTCACACCCTTTCATGTTATTCTGACCAGCTTGAGCAATTCTGATTTGTTTTCGAAGACCGGGAGAAGATAAAAAGGAAAAGCCATGAGTAAGAAAAAAAAATCTGAAAGCTTTGATAGTCTTCATTTTACGCATCGCTTTGAGAAAGACAGTTCCATTCCTACAATGTTCATGACTTTGAACAGGGTATGAAGTTTTGAACCCACTTAAACATGCACTGAAGTAATTCCTGTCTTTCTCAATGCGATGCTTAAGATGACGAGTGTCAACGTCATCTTACGCATCGCGTTGAGAAAGACAGGAAGTACTTCAATACATTTTAAAGTGGGTTCAAAACTTCTAAGTTGTTCGAAGTCATGAACGCTGTAGGGAAGGAGCTCAAAGACATGTTTTAAATGTTAATTTCAAAACTTAAGACCTTTGGAAACAAAAGGACAATGTACTAGTGATAGATCCAGCTTGGATAAAATCGTTTAAAGTACGTCACCACTTAGCTATCAACTGTTAAAAACAACTGAGAAATCCGTGCCCGAGACTCAGCTCTTTCACTTATACAGTTCAAGTAGCCCAAACAGTAACCGTGGAATGTTTGATCAAGTTGTCTTGTCGAATTGGCGGAGTTTTAGCCTTTTAACAATTTTGGTCTTCCATTGTATAAAGAATAGCAGTTCACCTTAGACGAAGATTATGGCTGACTGCGACGAAAGTGTAAGATGTATAAGAAATAGTTCTAGTGTACGAACTTTGATTTGACACTCACCAACTTCAACTTCAATCAAAGCCTTAAGATTAACAATTGTTTCATGTGCCAGCGAGCATTTAACAAGATTTGGAAGATGCAGGAATTCTGGAGAGTCGATCGGAAATAACGCGCAGATTATGACAGGAGACATTCACTGTGTAGGCACCTTATTAGAGCTGATCTTCATAGTCTAAGAGCTAGTGTTAAATGTCTACCTAATGAAACATGTTAAGGTGCATCAGGCAAAAACATACAAATTATGCTATAATAAGAAGAGAAAAGGCCAAAGAGTTTCTCTGGCACCCCATGGCATCTGTGACCTTATAAGAAACGTGCTAGAATGCGGAAAATAGAGACCGGTCGTGCAGGAAGCCAAATCTATCTCACAATGAACAATTGCTTCATGCGTCCCCGCGCGCACATAAAAATATGAAACATGCAAGAATTTTGGAGAACAGAAAAACACGAAAGAGTTTCTGGCGATGTAGCTGGGACTTCCTCGGTCCTTTGCGTAACCAACACGGCACAACGCACTATAGATTAAGGGCCTGTTTACATGGAGGTAGGGGACCCCAGGTAGGTGAGGTAACCCGCCTACGTGGGGTAACCCGCCTGTCCATATAATTTCTTATTTTATTTTGAGCAGGTTTACATGATAGGTGGGGTGACCCGCCTAGTTGGATTGCCCGGTCTGCCAGGTATGGTAATCCTGTCAGCCGGGAAAACAATTTGCCATGTAAACGTGTCAAGGTGGGGTAACCCGCCTAGCCGGGGTCGCGGTTCATGGCAAAAGCTCAAAAGCGAAACATGTATGTTTTAAAACTTTGTACATTTCCTAACCGTCTCATGGCAGAAATTACCAGAAACCGAAACGGACACACAAGGAGTGTAAAATGTTCACATTTCGGAATATTTAGCGGTGTAAATCGACCATATTTGGCTTCCCAAACTATTCCGTATAACGTATTAAGTCAACGGTTTCTCGCGAAAGCAAACACCGCGTAACACAACCCGTGACTCTTTCATGAATAAATACATATGTGTCTGAGAATTAATCCTTCGTCTTTTCCGAGATGTGAGCTTGGGACGCCTCTGCTCAAACTCCTTAATTGCAAGCGCAACAAACAACCTCAAGAAGCCTCACCTCAGCACCCCAAGGTTGTAAGATTGCACGTAAACGTGTTTTATTCTTCGACCACGGCTAGGCGGGTTACCTCACCTAACAATTGTTTCATGCGCTAGCGAGTATTTATCAATATTTGGAAAATGCAGGAATTTTGGAAAGCCGAAATGGCGCCAAAGAGTTTCTCATACCGTCCGTACACCCGAGAGCACTGCTGACCCTATAAGAAAAGTGCAAAAATTCAGGAAAATAGAAACCGTTCGAGACTAAAGACGAATATATCAGTGTAGGAAACCAAATCTATCTCACAATCAACAATTGCTTCATGCGTCTGCGGGCGTTCGTAAAAATATGAAATATGCAAGAATTCTGCCGCTTGCAAAGAATATTGTAAGTCAGTGACTGTTTGTTTCCTGTCAATTATGCAGAAAGGAGTGACGTCACTTGATAACGTGATGATACCTGTTCAGCTACTCATTAGGCACTGCTATTATACACAAGGTTAGTTTTCAAAAATGCATGGTAGCATTACTCCGCCCGAGTGGTACCGACTATAACAATTATACTTCGCTTGCATATAGTTTTGGTAAACATAATCTTTATGATGATAGAGAAGTCGACGGTTACACGCTAAGGAAAAGCGTACCATGAACATGACCCCTTGCGTGACTGCCTTTCAACGGCTCCCATTGCATTTTTTTTGTTTGTTTTGTTTTTTTGCTAATCTCTATTGACAGCGGATTGACCTTTTTGGAAGATAAGCTTCTCTTATCAGAACAGTTACCCTAATACTTTCACGAGTATCTCCCGAACGAACAAACAAACAAACAAACAGGATGGTAGTTAGTGCTTCCGGTCATTACTTGATCTTTGACTGCGAAAACCAAAACAGGAACTTTGGTGAAGTTTCAAATTAAGGTCAAAATCGGTTTAAAAAATAACTAAAATCACACATTTCGGAAAAACCTCAACGATACCAAAAACTCAAAAGAAAGTCCATGACATGATTAGATCGGGCAAGTACATCATGGTTCAAGATAAAAAGGAAAAGCCATGAATAAGAAAAAAAAATCTGAAAGCTTTGATAGTCGTCATCTTACGCATCGCGTTGAGAAAGACAGGAAGGACTTCAGTGCATTTTTAAGTGGGTTCAAAATTTCATACCCTGTTCAGAGTCATGAACATTGTAGGAATGGAGCTAAAAGACGTGTTGTTTATGTGAATTTTAAAACTCTAGACCTTTGGAAACAAAATGTTAATGTACTACTGACATATCCAGCTTGGATAAAATCGTTTAAAGGACGTCAGCACTTAGCTATCAATTGTTAAGAACCACTGAGAAATCCCTGCCTGCGACTCAGCTCTTTCGCTTATATAGTTAAAGTAACCAGAACAGTAGCCGTGGAACGTTTGATCATGCTGTCTTGTTGAATTGGTGGAGTTCTAGTCTTTAAACAATTTTGGTCTTCCATTGTATAAAAAATAACAGTTCACCTTAGACGAAGATTATGGCTGACTGCGACGAAAGTGTAAGATGTATAAAAAATAGTTCTAGTGTACTAGCTTTGACTTGACACTCACCAACTTCAACTTCAATCAAAGCCTTAAAGTAGACGATCCCAAATGACAGGAGATATTCACTGTGTAGGCACCTTACTAGAACTGATCTTGATAGCCTAAGAGTGTTAAATGTCTACCTACTGAAACATATTGAAGCGCAACATCCTTTGCGTAACCAATGCGGCACAACACACTTAAGATTAACAATTGTTTCATGTGCCAGCGAGCATTTAACAAGATTTGGAAGATGCAGGAATTCTGGAGAGTCGATCGGAAATAACGCGCACATTATGACAGGAGACATTCACTATGTAGGCACCTTACTAGAGCTGATCTTCATAGCCTAAGAGTATGTTAAATGTCTACCAACTGAAACATGTTAAGGTGCATCGGGCAAAAAATACAAATTATGCTATAATAAGACGAAAAGCGCCAAAGAGTTTCTCTGGAACCCCATGGAATCTGTGACCTTATAAGAAACATGCTAGAATGCGGAAAATAGAGACCGGTCGTGCCGGAAGCCAAATCTATCTCACAATGAACAATTGCTTCATGCGTCCCCGCGCGCACATAAAAATATGAAACATGCAAGAATTTTGGAGAACAGAAAAACACGAAAGAGTTTCTGGCGATGTAGCTGGGACTTCCTCGGTCCTTTACGTAACAAATACAGCACAACACACTTTAGATAAATAATTGTTTCATGCGCTAGCGAGTATTTATCAATATTTGGAAAATGCAGGAATTTTGGAAAGCCGAAATGGCGCCAAAGAGTTTCTCATACCGTCCGTACACCCGAGAGCACTGCTGGCCCTATAAGAAACGTGCAAAAATTTAGGAAAATAGAAACCGTTCGTGACTCAAGACGAATATATCAGTGTAGGAAACCAAATCTACCTCACAATCAACAATTGCTTCATGCGTCTGCGTGCGTTCATAAAAATATGAAACATGCAAGAATTCTGCCGCTTGTAAAGAATATTGTAAGTCAGTGACTGTTTGTTTCCTGTCAATTCTGTAGAAAGGAGTGACGTTATTTTATCACGTGATGATACCTGTTCAGCTACTCATTAGGTTCTGCTATTATACATAAGATTAGTTTTCAAAAATGCATGGTAGCATTACTCCGCCCGAGTGGTACCGAAAGGTCACTTCACGGAACATAACGATTATACTTTGCTTGTATATAGTTTTGGTAAACATAATCTTCA